CAAGGTTAGTTAGATCAACATTATGATATTCAGCTAATACAACATGATTCTTTTGATTTGCATTTAATTATCCAAATGTTATCAGATATACTTAAAATTTCTTGTTCAAATTAAATGTATCATACATTTTATTTCACTAACCCAGTTGTGTGGAACCGGTTGACATAACTGGGTGGAGTAAATACAACATTTTATTTCTTAGAGTGTGGTTTATCAAGTATGTTGTCTATGACCTTTGTTCACTTTCCTCAGTCTATACTTTTCACTGTCAACTTCCAACCTGATACTTTTCCATTCTGCTGGGGTCCTGGGTTCTTGGTTTGTGGACTTTGGATTCATTTATTATATAGATGTTCTATTTGATCTCAGCTATATACGTTTATACTTGTTGATCATGCCCCTTTATATCTTAGTTCACTGTTTCATTTGCTGTATTCTCCTAGTCACGGGGCCGAGTGGCCTGTACTGAACAGGACTCAGGTGCAGAAACCCAGAGCAGAGACAGCAGATGATGTAACAATTTATTAGGCTTAAGTGCAAAAAAACGTAGCAAAGACAAAAAACAATAAGATGTGGAGTTTGATGAGGCGTGGCCTGGGAAACGTGGCTAGGACTAGGGAATGAGGCCTCAGATGCAGAGTGGAGCTGAGCAGGGAACAGTCACACTGAAGAGAGAATATAGTGGAGTTAGGGAGGTAGTGGAGGCAGCTCTGAAGTGGCAAGTTGTAAGAGTAGCAATTCTTACTTGCAGTAGGGGACATGGAGTGTTGAGAGGGGGGTGATGAGAATCCAGGGGAAGCTGAGTGGCGTGGAAAGGCTGACCTGAGATCCGGGGCTTCAGATGGAGTGTGATGGCAGGAGGGCAGGCAGGTGAGGCACAGAGAGATTTTCAAAATGATTGCTTGGTATCCTGAGTCTGGAGGTGGAGCGTGAGCCAAGGTGAATACAGCAACTGCAGCACAAGAGTCTTGTTAACAAGATAAATCACAGCAAGCACTTGAAGTATAAGGCCTGTTACCAACATGTGTTGATGACGAACTGGCAGTGAATGATCATCAACGTGTGGCTTAAATCCCTCTGGCTTGATTGCCTGCAATAGGCTCCAGGTGTGCAGGAGATGGAGGAGTTGGCCCTGCCCAGGGGCGGATCGCAGGTAAGTTCAGGAGCCTTATGGAAATTCCAGCCTCCCACCGCAGACCATGACACTGCTAAGTCTCTTGTTATTTTCTTAGCCTTCTCCTTGTGGCTTTCTGTGTCAAGATTGTGTATCACTCTGTCATCTCTGTTTATCTACCAGAGCTATTATAGTTTTATATTTTATTTTTGAAAAACAAATTATTTCATTTTGATTTTTTGGTTTCAGTTCAGTTTAGTTTCAGTTTAGTCTCCAGAGTGGATTTTCCATAATGACTGGGGGATGGGGGGGCATGACAAAGGATACAGGATACACTGTGCAGGAGAGCCAGAGATGAATAATAATTAATGATAATGATTAAATGCATAATGGTGAATAAACACATAATAATTGGAAAAGAAAGTGCATCATGGGAAGCCCCCAGCGGCCTATTGCCTATGTCACGGTACTGGGCCATGAGGCCCAGGGTTCAAGTTCTAATGCATATTTTTGTATCCACACGTGTAGTTTAACACATCTAGTTGTTTTCTAGTTTGCAGTTTAGTCCTTGGTTTCTTAGTCCCTTTGTCACCCCTCCCTGGTCCGTGTGTCTACCTGTCATGTTTCATGTCTCTGGTTACGTTAAGTTCATGTTCTATCTCCATGTCTATGTCTCTGTGTTTCCTGTTTTATTTTGAAAGAGTACGGTGTTCTTTGTTCATTGTAGTTAGTGTTGCTCTCCCCTGTATTGTCATTATGTTTCCTTCTAGTCAGCTGTGTTCTCATGTGTCTCCACTTCCCCTGATCACCTCATGTGTGTATTTAAGTCCTCAGTCTTCCTTTGTTTGTCGCCGTGTCGTCTGTTCAACTTCCCCCATGTTACGCCAGGTTTCAGGACTCTGTGCCGGTCATGTCCATGTTACTTATGTATATATGTTTCATAGTTCCTTGTTGTTCCAGCACAGAGTCCTGTTCACAGTTGCCTCCGTCATGTGCATCATTGTCACCCTGTCTTAGCCTTCCCTGCTGTCTGAGTTAAGTGTCAGTTCTTAGTTTTCCCAGTTCAGTTTCTAGTTTAGTCTTGCCTCGGTGCTTTCAGTTGTTTGCCATGTTAATCAGCCCAAATAAAGGCTCGCTTTTTGTTTCAAGTTCGGTACTGTCTCCTCGTCTGTGTCTGCACCTGGAACCTCACACTCCCACACTCGGTCCGCCCACCGCAGACCGTGACAGCCTATAATCAAAAAGGAAAGTTTTAAACCTAATCTTAAAAGCAGAGAGGGTGTCCGTCTCCTGGATGTAAACTGGGAGCTGGTTCCACAGAAGAGGGACCTGAAAGCTGAAGGCCTCCCATTCTACTTTTACATACCCTGAGAAGCACAAGTCTGAGAGTGAACCCATATGGAAAAGATATATATAAATCTTATAAAGTTTGTATCTGTCTTGTGTGAAACTTGTATGAAAAGCATACAAGAGTGAAAACAGATATAAGGTCCCTTGAAAAATTATATAATGAAACTTGTATGTTTTGGATACTTACTAAAACAATATATGAAAGTAATGAGAAAGTGTCCACTTTCATGAGTAAATCATATAAGTTTTTACTATTTTTTTTCCATATGGGAAGTGCTCTCAGATGTGGTTGGTGATCTGATACACATGACTACTGAAGACTACTGTGAGTAGAAGGATTTAAATATTACTGAGAGTGTCTGTTTCATTCCCCATGTGTTTCCCTGTGCTTTAGATTCATTTACAATTCTCTTTTGGACTTTGTCGTTTATGCTTCTTTTTTGGAATTCATTTTTTTCAACAGCAGCTCGCTTTTTGTTCTTTTTTTAAATTTTTTTTTAGAATTTCTCATACAGCCCGTCTCACTGGACCTGATGCATTTCATCTGTAGTCGTTCTGTAAAGCTGCTCTGCTTTGCAAAATCAGGTCTAAATCTGATTTATGCAAGTCCTTCAGCACAATCTAAAACAGAAGCTTTAGCAGTCTATATTTTGGTGAATCAAATCAGTTTTTATGTAACTGAGGCCATCATGAAATAAAGCCTGTTGAGAATCCCATCTTAATAAGCGTGGAAAAATCAATTTAGCACCTACAATATGTTCCCCTAAGGCTGTGTGCATTGCTCACAAGAATGCACTGTAACTGTCTGTGGGTTATTGTAGCTTTTGCCAGTCAAACACCAACACATTCATCAAGTTTAAGCTCATCCTGCATCTATCAGAAGATTTCTTAATGTATTCACTTGGTTTCCACCTCCAGCGTCTTTATCTGTGGAAGACAGCAAAGCTATGCTGCAGCATCTTATCGTGCTCCATTCAGGTAAGAGCTCTGAAAGAGGAAGTATACCCCTGGGTATTCATGTGTGCCTGAGCCTGCAAGCCATGATGCCAAGACACAGCGAGCAGAGCAGTGGAGGGTAATGCATGCCTTGTCTCTGGTGGACAGAGGGGAGAGTGTGTTGAACTCTCCAAGAAGTGAATTTGGCCAATTTCATGCTCTTTGGCATGTACAGTACTCACCCAGGTGCAACGCTCTGTGAAGCTGGAGAAAGAGTGAGGCATTAGGAGAATAATAAGCAAACAGACCTTCAGCAATAAGCGAGAGCTTTTGTTTATTTATTCATGTAGTTCTAGCTGGGAGTGGTGGATGGGGAGTTAAAGACTGCATGCTTAGATGATGCATGTTTTTAGAAGATTGCACCAGAGTAAATATTTTTCAGCCTTCGTTGTATTGATTATTTTCTGTATGTCAAGAAATCTACTTGAATGTGCTGCACATCCAGGAAAATCCCATAAGAATGGCAGTGAAATACCAGAGTATGGCTGGAAAACTAATAAAATTACCTTTCCTATCTTTAAAAGGTCTTTTTAAGAATTCACACCATCAGACATGCCCCAGCAGTATGACTTTTTAGCAGCCCCTGAAAGAAGTCCATTGTGGCTTTATTTTCTTTATTTTCTTTTTTTGCTGCAGTTGTCCCCTCAAAATCAGCTCCGATGTCAGGAAGTCTCAGAAGGTGTAAGAGTGGTCTTCCATGGATGGCACTTGTATTTTGTGCACATCCCCAAGAGTAGAAATGAGATGTGGGGAAACAGGAAACATTGTCCCAAATTGTTTGTCATGTGAGCAGCATGGACACAGAGCTTCACCCTAACAGGGGTCAGTTTTTTGCTTTTATGGTAAATGGACTGGTTCTTATACATTTATGGTCAAAAGTTTTAGAACACTCCAATTTTTCCAATTTTTTTATTGAAAATTATGCAGTTTAATGTCACATTGTGCTCTGAACTGAACTTACAAATAAGCAACTGGAGTGAAAACAGAAATCAGTGAATCAATTTTTAGACCAAAATATTTTCTAAACTTTTGACTCATCAAAGTAGCCACCTTTGGCAGATATAACAGCTGAACACACCTGTGGCATTCTTTCAACAATAGAAATCAAATATTCTTCAGAAAGTTCTTCCCATATCTGTTGCAGAAGTTTCCATAAATGTGGCACTTGTAGGTTACTTTGCTTTCACTCTTCTGTCCAGTTCATCCCAAACCAGCTTGATGGGGTTTAGGTCTGGAGACGGTCTTGGGCACTCCATGTTTTCAAGCTTACCATCTTGTTCTTTTTTCCTGAGGTAGTTCTGGCATAGCTTAGACTTGTGTTTTTGGGTCATTATCTTTCTGTAGGATGAACCCCTGACCAACTACATGAGGGTATTGTGTGGTGCTGCAGAATGCTGTGGTAGCGGTTTTGGTTCAGCGTGCCTCTCCCTCTGTAGAAGTCGCCAACCCTGGATCCAGCAAAACAGCCCTAAACAATCACACTTCCTCCTCCATGTTTGATAGTTGATGCCACCCACTGAGGAGCCATCGTTTCGCCTACTCGATGGCATACAAAGATCTTGAATGATGAACCGAAGATTTCAAATTTTGATTAATCCGTCCATAATACCTTCTTCCCGTCTTCAGTAATCCAATGGCCGTGTTTCATGGCCCAGGCAAGCTTCTTTGTCTTATTCTGACGTCATAGCATTGTCCTGTCAAACCTGGAGCTCAAAGTCTTCTCTTCACAGTTGAAACTGAGACTTGCTATGACCACTATTAAGCTGTGCTTCAAGCTGTTGTGAGCCGCCTATCACGCAAGCTGTTAACTCTCAGAAATGTCCTCTGATTCACTTGTGGCTTTGAGTCTGCCAGACCTCTTCCTTTCGTCAAAGTCTCTGAGTGCCTTTTGATGGTGAAGGAAACTGCACTCACTGACATCTTGACTTTCTTTGCAATTTCTCTGTTGGAAAGCCCTACACTTTTAAGTGTTAAATGGTCTGTCTCTCTTCCATTTTTATTTGCCTTTATCGCACCATTTTTGTAGCATCACACTACTTTCTGCAGTACAATACTGTTCAACTGATGCTTCAGTTCTAAGGTCAAATGGTGGGGAGTCCCAGATTTAAACGTAGTGGGAGTATCCCCCCATTAGGTTTAAATCTGGGACTCCCCACCATTTGACCTTAGAACTGAAGAAGCTTCTTGGATGAGAGGTGAAACGTCTTCAAGCAACTTAAAGAAGTCCAGACGCTTTTCTTTGCAAGCTCCTTTGACAGTTTTGAGTAACCTTACCGTTTTGAGTAACCTTAAAAATCTCTGGCAGTTTACCACTTACCCTTTTACAATTTTAAGCTGACTTGAACAACTTGAATTGCAATAAATTGAATTGCCTGTTTACATTCTGAGTCCATGATGATTCATAATTTAGCAGCCTATCCTGTTGTGCAAATACGATCACCTTAAAAAGTAAACTAAAAAACATGACAGTTCCCACAACACAAATACTTACACTTCAAAATCTGTAGTCCATAAACCAACAGGTAACATACATCCTATATACAGTTATGGGCAGGAGTTAGACTAACCAGGCATTTCATTAGGTACACACTTGGCTGGTATCAGTTTGGATCCGTTTGCTTTCACAGCTGCGTTCAATATCCAGTGCATAGACTTAACAAGGTGCTTCAAACCTTCCTCAGAGGTTCCATCATAATATGTTCATGATAACATTAGAACACATACTGCAGATTCATCATGATTTGAGTTGATGTGAACCTCCCATTCATTAACATCCCAGTAGTGCTAAATTGGATGGAAATTAGTGACTGTGAAGCACATTTGAGTAGTGAACTCATTATCACATTAAAGAAACCAGAAAATTGTGACTTTGGTACAGTGGTCGTAAAGGAAAGGCAATGTCAGCACCAGCACACAGGTATGTTGTGGCATTCAAATGAGGCTCAACTGGAACTAACAAGCCCAACGTATAAACCTGATATTAAGGCCAGATAAAAGATTTGCACAAGGATTGTTGTTACAGTGAATATCACAAGCTATTATACGTTCATTCAGACCTGAGATTACAGGTTATGATGTGATGTAGTGATGTGGTAATACATTATATTTAAAAATGTTCTTTTAAAAGGTTTTTATCCAGTTGAATGTTGTTGAACTGAGTGGGAGGATTTAATTTGATTTACGTAAAAAATATCATAGAGCTCTTATAATCCCTGTGAAAAGTTATGATGCCAGTTTGCATAAAATTGTTTTTCTACTAAATAACTGATTAGTGTTTGAGGTTAGATTCCGATGTAGATCAGTTATGAAGCACGGTCATTAAATAAATAAGTAATAGTGAAAACCTTTCAGAAACTGACTCCGTGTGCGACAGAACTTACCTTCACCTAAGGTAACTTTGTCATTCACTGCAACACAACACACAAAATCCAACACACATGCATGCACACACACACACACACACACACACACAGCTAAATGCAGACAAAAAGTCTTAATACCCTTGATATAGTTTTAAAAAAGCCACCAACTGAGGCAACTAATGGCAACTGTGGCACGGTTAAAAAAATCCCCAAATGCATGCACTGTCTTATGCTTTCTGAAAAAAGAATAGAGTACAGGCAGAGGTCATCAAATGTGTTTTACTGTACATTTACAAAACAACAAGAGTACAAAAAAGTCAGTCCACAGACATTTTTTGTTTGTTTGTTTGTTTGTTTGTTTGTTTTGGAGGGAGTATATTGACATTTCATCTGACAAATGCAGCAAACAGCCTCTCAGACAGACAAGAGGGAAGCAGAGGGAATACAATCAAACTTTCATAAAGTCTGTCTGTCTGTCAGTCTGTCTGCAGAGTGGAACACTTTGCAGCAGAGAAACCAGAGGAAACATAGAAAAATATGACATTCGTAGCGGACAACATGGCAGCAGGGATCCTGGTGGGGAAGCGTTGGGGGGCGGAGACGTCCATCTGGGAGCGAGACCCAGCTCGTTTTGGTTTTTCTGACCCCCCCCACCCCTCATTCTCGACCAGAAAACACACTTTGTGCTTCATATTTTCTGTTGTTTTGCCATCACAACAAGAGTGCAACAGTAGTTAATGCTTTTCCAAAAAGTATACATTTTGAGAAAAAAAGTTGGCACATTCAAGAAGACTTTTTTTTTGTTTGTTTTTTTAAATATCAGACGTTTGTGTTTTTTTTAATCCTCATAAATACAATATACATCTTTTACCCCTGTATCCAGAGCTCACAAAATACAGACACAGGTATTTACAAACCAAAGGTGAGGAGTGATCTGAGTGGCTCATAAATATTCGGAGCAATACCAAAAGCAGAATGTAAAGTCTGTTTACAGCAATAACATAGGTTTGACTCTAGGTTCCTGAAACCCTAAGCTCCATGTCTTGTTCAGCTTATTGTCTCCACAGTGGTTAGATGGGCGGGGAGCAGGAGGGTGATCAAATCATCAAAGGTACACTGATAGAATTTCTTTATCTTAATTCCTGAAAGAGAGAAATATAACATCAGTAGCTTAAACAATCAGTCTCACAGAACGAGTTATCAGGACACCGTAGTACACAACTTATTCTAGCAGTAACTTGGTATTAAGGGCCAATTTAATCCATCCATGAAGATTGAATCAGTTTTTATCAAGACTGTTTAGCTGTCAGGGTGAAGAACTTCAGACAATTTCCTCTCGATCTGAGCCACATTCCTGCAGTAATCACCTATCTTGTAAATTTTGAGTCAGCATCACTTAACAGGAAGTTAAGTGACTTGTTGACATTTCCACGATGTACCGGAGGATGCTGAAAACAGCTTCCAGCTAAAATCTGTTTCTGGAAGCTCTGCAGTAACACAAAACACATGCAAGTGTTGCAAATAATATGATGCAATGTTTAAGCTCTAATGTGAAAATTAAGCTTTCAGCTTCATGCTGATCACAGTGAAGTTGCTACTACAAACAGGAATTCCTCTCCAAGTGGATCTAAAATGCATTTCCTTATTTTTTTAATCACTTATACAGTATACTGCTACAGTTATGGATGTAAACCAAAAGCCTGCGGGGCAGCCAATCAGAAGAAAATTAGCTCAAAGGGCAGAGGGAGGCAAAACAGCTTGTCTGAGGCAGTCTTTTATGTATGTAGTGCATTTTACTGACTGTCAATCAATTTAATTTATAAGCACATTTAAAAACAGCACAGATTGACCAAAGTGCTGTACAAACAATCATGTGAACTATGCTTGAGCAGACTAGGTTTCCCATATTAAAGCACTGCCAGTTGTTCCAGTTTCTGAAGATGGTGTCATGTACTGCATTTTGATTGTCATTATTCTGCATTCAGTCCAGAAAGATTGTTTCAAAAGAATCAAAAGTGATGCTACTTAACAAAAATCTAATTAACTTCATACAAAAGTCAGGATGGATGGATTTCACAAAACACGCTATGAAATTAAAAAGAGATATAAAAAGTATGAAAAAACCTTCAGTGTCTCAACCGTTCATACACACCTCTCTAATACCACTGTTACAGTGGCCTATTTAGTTCCTAGCCTCGGAGCATTTTTTAACAGGCTTGACGACATCTGCTGCCCTTCCGTCGCCCATCCTAGACTGGCCGTCTGCATCAAAGGCCACACGATAAGCAGGCAATAACACCGCATGAGGAAGAGGTAACCTAATCCAGGCTTCCTGTAACTTTATTGCAAAGGAAGATTGTGCTTTCATGTGCCTGGGAAGGTGTGAAAAAGGTCAGCGTGGGTCAGTTAGGGGCATGTGGAGCAGGGGTGAGGTGTTCTTTAGTTCTCCACCGAGGGGGTGGAGGGGAATATAAGGAACCTTTGTGTGTGTGGCAAGAGAAAAGAGTGATTGTGCATGTGTGTCACTTTTACAAGTTGCTTTGCAACACTCATGTCTGATGTGCACTGAGAAGTGACCCGTGACAGGGCCATCCTTTCTGTTTCCTCACACATGCAGCTTTATAGTGACGCCTCGGGTTACAGCTGTAAGCTTAACAGCTACAGCATTAAAGGAATGCATCAAAGCTGCTGCACTAACCATGTCTCATAAACCACTGCGTATGTAGGTTAACACTGAATTTTGAAAGTAACCAGAGTCAAAGTTGTGGCTGAAAGCTATTTTAGCCATTTAATTACATAGAAGACAATATTTGTCCTGATCCTTTTCAGCATTGTGCCTACATGAAATTAATTAACACAACCTTTTTTCAGTTTTTTCAGTGCAGTTAACCAATCCAAAACACAGATTACAAACTGAATTTACATACAATTTGAATTTAACTTTAAAGAGCTCCCATCACTTTGGATTAAGCTCCTGTTGGGTTACCCAGCTTGCTGCCTACCTACAGTAATGTCAAACTTTGTAAGCACAAATTCCCTTCAGAGCCTTTCATTCAGCTGGCACAGCGTGCTCCACCATAAAAGACACTGGCACGTTGCAAGGGAGCCTGCAGGGAGTGCATTTAAAAGAGTGCTCCCACAGTTAAGTGTGCCCTCAGAAGTGCACTCCAGAGGGAGCAGTGGTTGTGTAGGCTTAACATTGTTTCTTACTGTAAAGGTTTTGAAGCAAATGGTAGTGGCAGATCTGTATGAATGGGCCTGAGAGCATGACGGTGTGAGTGTGTGGGCGGGGGAGTGTAGAAGCCCTCTCTGAAGTGTCTTCACATATTAGTAATGATATGTAGATTAAACTGAATCCCATGAAGAGGCTTTGTTCTCATATTCATGAATATATAAAATAATCAATTATTAAAACCATTAGAGGTGCACAAAACTCTATAACTGTTTGTTTTGGAGAATTTTACCTCATTGTGTTTCCTGGCTGAGTTGAGCCCCCGGGAGCCTGTGGAGCCTCTCGATGAGGAACTTCCCGTAGTTGAACAGTTACTGGACATCTGACCTCTGGAGAGGTAACCGGCCTTACTGCTGTACAGGATCATCTCCTCATCTGGAGAGACAGATGCAAATGGGAAAATAAAGGTGCATTTGGACATTTTGCAGGTGATCTGGACAACACTTTTTCAGATGTAGGCTACGTCTACACTAATCCGGATAAATTTGAAAACGGCGTTTTTGTCTAAGAACTTGGGGGCGATCGTGTCTCAAGAGTTGTAATCGGAAGGTTGCCGGTTCGAGCCCCGGCTTGGACAGTCTCAGTCGTTGTGTCCTTGGGCGAGACACTTCACTGGTGGTGGTCAGAGGGCCCGGTGGCGCCAGTGTCCGGCAGCCTCACCTCTGTCAGTGCGCCCCAGGGCAGCTGTGGCTTCACTGTAGCTTGCCATCACCAGTGTGTGAATGTGTGTGTGAATGTGTGTGTGAATAGGTGGATGATTGTGTATAGTGTAAAGCGCTTTGGGGTCCTTAGGACCAAGTAAAGCGCTATACAAATACAGACCATTTACCATTACCATTTAAGAACGCTCCACGTCCACACTATCATTTTTAATCGTTTCCAAACAGTTGTTCATCCACACTGAAACGACTGAAACGCTTATGGTCCTCTATTGCGCATACGTGAAACGTAAGATGATTCGACCTGCGGTATTTCTGTCTGCTGTTTATTTACTTTCCGGCTCTTTAAAATGCCGTGGCAAAATGTCGAGGAAAAGTTTGGACTAACAATGAGGTGGAGGTGTTGCTGCGAGTAACACAAAAGTACAAAGTTGCAAAAGTGAGTGAGAATTAAAGAATTTGAAGAAAAGCTATCTGGAGCATGTTAATCTTTGATAGGGCTGTCAAAATTGAGAGCAAACAAAACAACGCCCTCCGCAATCTTAGTTTAATTGGTCACATGACTGGATCATATGACTAAAATGCGTCATCGTTTCCGAAAGCCTGCGGTTACGCTGTCCACACTGCGACGCGAAAATGGTGTTTTCAAATGTATCCGCTTTGGAGAGCGCTTTCAAAAAGCTCAGTTTTCCTTGACCATGAACACCGTCTCAGTGTAGACAGAAGGCCAAACGGAGAGAAAACGATGCGTTTTCAAACGAAAACGTATTAGTGTGGACGTGGCCGTAATCTTATTGTTTTGTCTCTCAGCTTCACTCTCAGACCTCTGGATTACTGCCGCTTTCTAGAGTATTCAGAATTAGAATAACAGGCAGAGCCTTCAGCTTTCAGGCCCTTCCTCCGTGGAACCAAGTCCCAGTTCGGATTCGAGAGACATACACTCTCTCTGCTTTTAAGATTAAGCTTAAGACTTTCATTTTTAATAAAGCTTATAGTTAGGGCTGGATCAGGGTCAGGCTATAAGGGCGAACATGGACCCTGAGTCCCTGTACGCTGCAATAGGTCCAGACTGCTGGGGGTTTCCCATGATGCACTGAGTGTTTGTGTCTTCTTCACTCACAAATTTAACTCAGTATGTGTTTATTCACCACTCTGCATTTAATCATTAATCTTTAGCTCCCTTCCACAGCGTATCTTTGTCCTGTCCACTCACCCCAAAAGGCCAGTGCACATGGCCGCCCCTCCCTGAGTCTCGTTCTGCTTGAGGCTTCCTGTAAATGGGAGTTTTTCCTTCCCACTGGTACCAAAGTGCTTGCTGATAGAGAGTCATCTGATTGTTGGGGTTTCCTCTATTGTAGGGTCTTTACCTTACGACAGGGGTGTCCAACTCCAGGCCTAGGGCCGGTGTCCTGCAGGTTTTAGATGTGTCCTTGATATAATACAGCTGATTTAAATGGCTAAATGACCTCCTCAGCAGGTCTTGAGGTTCTCCAGAGGCTTGGTAATGACATAGTCATTTGATTCAGGTGTGTTGACCCAGGGTAATATCTAAAACCTGCAAGACACCAGCCTTCGAGGCCTGGAGTTGGACACCCCTGCCTTACAATATAAAGCACCTTGAGGCAACTGCTGTTGTGATTTGGCGCTATATAATTAAACTGAAGCTGAGTTGAATACATTTCCATCCAAATGAATTCAATAACCACACATTTACCCAGATTTATTTTTGGAGTTGAGTATGGAAAAACAACACTGAGTTTTCACATGATATTCTGTGAGGGATACACACTGCAGGATTTTTAGATTCTCTGAGCCATGCCTTTTGTTTTTGACAATGGCCAGGAGAGCTGGCTTCACGGTTATTTTGCAAAGTCATTTATAAAGAATGACATGTTGCAAACAGACCCGTTTCACTCTCCCGTGTAATACTGCAGTGCAGTAGTGGACCATGGTGCATCATTATGTGGAAGAGGCTTCATCGGCCGAGTGCATAAGTGCTGCCTTTTCTTCCGCTTTCTTCTTCTGCAAGAAGCACAACATTTCCAAGAGAGCCCACACTCTCTGTCCTCAATTTGATTTGTCTAACCTTAAACTGCATTATGGCTGAAATACAACACACTTACTGTCAGTGTGTCTCTGTCCCGAGCCTTTTCGCTGCTGGCTATTAATGCTATATTCAGTCCTCTCCAGGGAGGACAGGGTGCCGTTTGTCACACAGTTGGCCTCCATGCACCCCTGAGGGTCCTGTAACCTGCCCTCTTCTGGGGGTGGTTCTGGAGGAGGGGGCAGGTCTAAAAAAATGAGATACAGGGAAAGAGCATTTAAACTTTAAGAAAGAACTTTTTGTTTCCATTTTCACTGTCAGGTTTCTGTTAAAAAACAGTTTTCTTCGTTTCCAAAAAACGACACGTTTTTCTCATTTCTCTCTTTGTTTTCTTTGCTAATTGAGAAAAGTGAAGAGACTTACAGTCTTGATTTCTTGATGGAAATTGAAATGATTATTCACTTATTAAGACGAAAGGTCTTGTTCTTGTTCCTGCCAAGGCTATGGATTCACAGTGGACTGCAATTTCAGATTTTTATTTCCGTTCCCAGTGATAATAATCATGCTTATCCAGTAAACATATTACAGTCTGTAAGCTGAGATTACAATTTCCATCCATAGTCAGGAATGCCAGCCTCTCATCTTGCCTTTCTAACAGCTGTGGACAGTCACAGTATCTGTGATTCACATATTTGAATCTGCCCACCTCCTTGTATGTCTCTTCTGTAAGCTGAAGTCTTAGACACTTTTTTTTTCACTCTTGATTTTTGGTTTGGTGGAGTACTTGTATCAGCGGGGGAGGAGCGACTGTGCACTGTGGGTGAAAAGGGATAAATAATCAATAGCAAGGAGACGATGCAGAAGGATTACTCACATGACAAACACTAAATCAACTTTAAATCAGCTTCCAGGGTGGGGGCTGCTACTCTGTATTCTGTATGCGTGTGCACGTCAGCCACTTTACCCGGTGTGGTGGTGCTGATGCTGTCTTCATTCAGAGCTGGGCCCTGGCTCTGGAGGCAGCGATGGGCAGGACTCTGGCACTGCAGCATGCCAACTTCTGACGAGCTGTGATGCTGTTGGCCGGAGAGGCTGGGGTTGGACTGGGTGAGCAGTGGGCTCGGTGCCTGGGGAACTGGCATGGGACCGCAGGGTAACCTTCTGCTTTGGGAAGTGAGGGCAGCGTGTTACTGGAGCAAAAAATAAACTGAAGCAGAAGCTAAATCTTGTAATGTTTAGGAGTCAGGTTTACTATACAGCTAAACACATGATTTTTGGCATGATTAATAATGTGATTTTATTGGTTTTGTCATTTTATTCTGTCTGTCACATCTGACAATAGCACTCAATTTAGCGAGGCTGCTTATCTTTAATTGTGAATTCTATTGAGAAGTGAATGAAGCACTTAAACAGTAAGCAGTAAAATGACTGTGATTAGCAGAGAAATCCTCTTCCATCGAAACAGTCTGTGACTGAATGTGACATGATACCCCATCAGCACATTTGCTGAACTTAAACACATTGACACAGTGCAGTCAAATGGACACAACCTTTAGAAAATACAGTAAGCACGTACCGTGACAACTGCTGGCTGTTTGATTGGTTCTGACGGGGGAGGTCATGGTGGGCTTGGGGCTCCTCGTGCGGTGATGGAGTGAGCGTGGCGGTTGACTGGTGACTGTAGGAGGTGGCTGGAGAGGAAGCGTTGTTCCTCTGAGGGGGCGAAGGTCTGTCCTCGCAGCCTTCCATCAGGTATGTCCTCTCAGGGAGGGGTGGACACCATTCCTCATCCGATCTAGATACACAGTGAAGCAGATTACAGCTCAGCGAGGCCGTGGGCGGCTCTACACCTCGATGTGTTGCATAATTATTGTCGAAGGACAACCTGTTTACTCAGTGATACCTTCAAATCCAACTAGCTAAGAGGCTATTTAAAGATTAATGATGTTCTTTCAAGTTAGGAGGCCTCGCCAACGGCAAAACTGCAGGAGGCTAAGCTTCCC